GAGTCTGTAGCTCTACTGGTTTGCACTTATAACAAAGGATGAGAAAAGTAGCCATTGCCATCAGACCACAACCGTAGAAAGAGTTGCTTTTTGAAGGAATTTTAGACATTTCTATTTTAAGTAACCATGGCAACACTGTTCATCAAAATCAAAAACCGATGCACTATTTTATTTATCATAGTGTAGTCTACTTGTATGCGAAGTTATATTGAAATCAGACCAAAACTGTAAGAGGAGTTGCGTTTTAAAGGAATTTCACAGGAAATTCTTTTTTTAGTAACCATGGCAACACCATTCATCAAAATCAATATCTGATGCACTATTCTATGTATCTTAATGTAGACTACTTGTGGGCCAAGTTATATTGAAATCAGACCAAAACTGTAGGAGGAGTAGCATTTTAAAGGAATTTCACAGGAAGTTCTATTTTTAGTAACCATGGCAACACCGTTCATCGAAATCAAAAACAGATGCACTATTTTATGTATCTTAGTGTAGTCTACTTGTGTGGCAAGTTATATTGAAATCAGATTGAAATTGTAGGAGGAGTAGCGTTTTAAAGGAATTTCACAGAAAATTCTATTTTTAGTAACCATGGCAACACCGTTCATCGAAATCAAAAACAGATGCACTATTTTATGTATCTTTGTGTATTCTACTTGTATGCCGATTTATATTGAAATCAGATCATAACTGTAGGAGGAGTAACATTTTAAAGGAATTTCACAGAAAATTCTATTTTTAGTAACCATGGCAACACCGTTCATCGAAATCAAAATCCAATGCACTATTTTATGTATCTTTGTGTATTCTACTTGTGTGCCAAGTTATATTAAAATCAGACCAAAACTGTAGGAGGAGTAGCGTTTTGAAAAAATTGTTTACAGACAGACGGACAGACAGACAGACAGACAGAAGGACGGACGACGGACACCTTACTATCGCATAAGCTCTTCTGGTCTCTGACCAGTAGAGCTAAAAATGAGATCGCCAAGCTAAATTAAGTAAATACAGTAAATATTGTATTTCCAAAAAATATGAAAATATCTTTAGCGATCGATTATTGTGTTTCCAACAATTAAGTGTGCATTATGCAATTGGAACACGACCACTTAGAGTATATATTTCAACCACGCACACTATTTTAGTGCTTCCCCCAATGATTTATTTTGCTTTTTTTTAATTACATACTAAGTACGTTTTCCGCACGCTGTAGTAACACTGCAAAGTCTGAAGATTATTTGTATAGGTTGATATTTTTAAAAATGCTTATATAATACAGATAGTAAACTGGCATCTTATGTAACGTTCATCATCTCCCTGTTGGTAGAGGTTAAAATCTTGGAACAGTATGCATGATTCCACTTAAAAAAATTATTTATCCTGTGTTTACCCCTTATCCCGTGGTTATCACTCATTGGATTTTTTTTTTCATTTATCACAGTTTTGACAACACGATTGATGCTGCATGAGAGCTATTGAGTAAAATAAAAAGTACTAGTAATTCTATTTTTAAAAACTGCGTAAATCATTGATATTGATTTTTATTATACCTCTATTGATAATACTCAAATTTGATTGGCTGGTAAGAAAACTTTAAAACACAACAATGACTCCAAATGGTACCGTTTACAGCAACACTGACCTAGGAATCATTGCACGTGGGATATAATGACCCGGTCATTATTTTTAATGACCGCTAAAAATGACCGCTTAATCAAAAATTCGTTTTAGAGTAAAGTTAATGCATAAAATAATAATTATTCGAAAAAAAAAAACATGTTTTTAAAATTGTGCATGGTCTGTTTTGCATTATGATTACCATACAGAATACGGTAAAATTTTATCGTTACAATATTATGAATATATCGTTTCAACATATCAGTTCAATAGAATGTAGAGGCGGCTCTTTAAGGAGTTGAATTCTGTGTTAGATTTTGACTGTGTAGAGGAAAAGTAATCGTTAGCTATAACAATGTATGTCGCTATCAACTAAATATTGTTTTAATCAGTAAATCAAGATGCAAAAACTTACACGACTTGCAGACGTCAATGTAAACAACTTCGTTATCCGGTCTGTAGCGAATCCCGATCCCGATCAAAGAAAGATTTGATAACGGTTAGAAATTCATACTTTTCAATATATATCGGTATAATAAAAATTAATTACCCCTTGTGAGTTCAACGTGGTAAATAAGGACCCTCGACCTGGCCCACTCGATGACCTGCCCTGACCTCGGCCGCTACGCGGCCTCGGTCAGGGCAGGGCACCTCGTGGGCCAGATCTCGGGTCCTTATTTCACCATGTTGACCTCACAAGGGGTAATTAATTGTATAATAAAACATGGGATAAAAAGACTCTCCCGTGATTTGAAGTTGATTATGATTTGTACCCAACTCACTGTGTGATAAATCACACACACAACTTGTAGGATAAAAATATATCCAACCATAAATGATGGGAAGATGTATACATGTATGTCTGTAACTGTTTTTTGCTGGAGTTGGGTTTATTCTCCTTTAAAAAAATAGATAGATTTCTTTTGAAAAGAAAAAAAACTTAAAGCAACTGGATAATGAACATGATGTCTGTTACCTATTTACTTATCCCTCAGATGGGCATAGGACTGCAGAAAAACTCTCCCTCTTATAGCTGGAGCTATCAGTGTACCTCCTGTTTATCTTGTAGGTCAAAGCACAGGCCTTTAAATCGCTTAGAAAAAAATTTGAGATGTTAAAAAAAATAAAGGTATGGAACTCTTTTCATTAGGTTTCCACTTTCGCCAATAAAATTCTTTTAAATCAAATGCTTTACAATTTTACTTTCTATCCATATCTATTCAAAAATAAACAATCTTCATTACTACCAAAGTTCATTCCGTAATTCCTTATACTTCTCGAGATATTCTGAAATCAATTCCCAAATTGACAATAATTTTTTTACTCGACATCAGCTTGGGCCTTCACTAATTGTAAAGCGGGAACGACGGGACAAATTTTCCCCGGAATTTATTCTAAACTCAATGAATATTTGCTCATTTGCATTCAAGCTTTACAAGGTTTTTCTTTAATTTGAACATATGGTATAACTAAGTCATAAACAACATTTTAGCGGTCTAATTGTTTTGAAAATCGAAAGGTATATAATGCATTCCGGGAAAAATTCGTTCTACCATGGCTTCATTTACATTCGTAATCAACATGGCGGTAGTTGTTGATGTAGACGTTTTCAAATTAATTTTTCGCGAATGGAATATTATTACGGACTTAACGTTACAATCTAGAGTAAGAAATCAACTTTAAATTGTTGAAAGATTTTGCAAATACTATGCAACTCTTCGCCGCACTTCAAACACCGTCTGTTTACATGTGAATGGCCAGGGGCCCAAGCTAATGTCGAGTAAAAGAAAGTAGGTCATTTTTGAAATTGATTTCAGAATATCTCAAGAAATATATGGAATTTCGGAATGAGCTTTGGTAGAATTGAAGAATGTTTATCTATGAATAGATTTAAATAGAAAGTAGAATTTTAGAGCATTCGAATAAAAAATATTTTATTAGCGAAATTAGGTACCCAGTGTAAGAGTTCAGTACCTTTATTTTTTTTTTACACACACAATTTTTTTTAAGCGATCCAAAGGCCTGTGGGTCAAAGGTACTGACTGCAAAGACGTTAATTTAAAATTACATCTTGTTGTTGCTGCATTTCATCTTGTTGTTATGATATAACTTTCTTTCTTAAAAAAAAATAATTGCCATTTTAGGTTTTCCAGAATATTTTCGGAGTTTGTGAGAATCCCACCTGACACAATCTCTAGTCAACGTTGTAGCACCGTGCTTCTGAAGTTACTCCTTTACACAAATTGAAAGAGCAATTGTTAGACCTGGTCATGAACATTTCTTTAACACGGATTTTGAAGGTTTGGAGCAAAGGTAGGGTAGATGGAGCTAATCGAGTAGTGATTTCAATACTTATATAATTAAAAGTATTTCTGAGCAGTTAGATTTTTAAATAGTAAGTAATTTTGTGAAATACCTTTTACAAGAAAAAAATTACATCTTTAGAAATGACATGCGAGAAAAAGTTGGATTTCCAGGGGTAAAACCAAATATTTTGCTAGTGCATTGATACATTTCAAAATAAATTTTGAAAACTGGGGAATCTGTTTTATATTTAAATAAAACAAGATATATAATTAGATTATAAGTGTGGATGCACTTTAATTCGGGGGGGGGGGGGGGGGGTGTTCAATGGTCGTGGGAAAACATAATTTTACTTGTTCATTGGGATGGTATTAGTTTACAAAAAAAAACTTTATGTACCATATGCACTAAAGTTTTTTTGTAAACTAATACCATGTAATACCATGAATGTACCATATGCACTTTCAAGCAATGAATTGTCATAATTTTAACGTTTGATATATGCTAAGAATTCTGAGCTGTATAGGTATTCTATATGCATAAGTGCATACATAAGGATGTATATTTGCCTGCAACAGCTACAAGTTATCAATATTGTGAAATTTGAGACCAATCAGTGAATCCAATGGATAAGAAAGTAGATATGAAAGAAAAAATTATATGTAAGCTTTATGCATCAAACATCTAATATAATTATTTATAATCTCAAACTAAAAAACAAACAGTTGCCACACATGACATGGATTATATATGTATAACCCTCACTCCTTTTTTACTGTCATATTTGCAATTGCACTGTCATGTGAGGCAACTGGTAAGATACAAACACTTGACCTTTTACACATTCTCTTAAAAAAAAAAGAGTGATCATCAACAAATTCACCATAAGTGATCAAACAAGATATGAGAGGAAATTAAGCAATGCCACGAAGCAGCTTAACTAAGCCTCATCTTCCGTAAACAATATATAATTAGTTTTAGTCCACTTCACTTGTGACTTCCCTGTTATATTTATTTATGTGATATTTTTTCTCTCCTCCAGGACATGTAACCATCACCAGTGCACTGTATGAGTATATCATTGAAACGTGAAAATTCTTCCCTCTTTTTATTTCAGAAGAAAAATTACATATTCACCAGTTTCATTATTAATTGTGAATGACAAGAAGCATATCTATTTCAGGTAAGAATTTTCATATTTTTTTTTTATAGATAAGATATAATTGTGATGTTGAGTTGATAACACAGTTAGTGACTCTTTTGGTGAATACAGTTTGCTATTAACCAAAAATAAAACAATTTTGACAAAGTCGAAGTCGAGGATAAACGTAATATTTTTCGGGGGAATAATAAACCTTACTTCACAACCGAAAGATTCCATTATTGTTCCATTATATTGTCAGGAATTAAAGGTTGACTCTCAGGTGAATACGTTCTCAAATCCAGTGAATATAAATATTTACGCATTTAAAAATATTTTTTGCTAAATATAGTCTCATAACTGTAACGGTGTCTGCAAACAAATTAAATAACGCTCTAATGTTAATTGTGAGCGTAAATTTTGATTTTCGCTAATGGCGTTGCATTTTCACGTCGTTCAATGATTGTGACGTAAAAGTAAACTGCATACATTAACCCTTTGACCCCCTGCTCATGAATACCGTAGATTTCGTTACGTTATCTAAGCAAAATACATATTGAATGTAAATAACACGGTCACACAGGGCCTCGCAGTTTTAGGTCATAACCAAATGCTGAATGCTTCACGAAGAACCTTCTTTTCGACTAAGGTCAGTCGCGACCGAGATTCGAACTGACGACCTTCCGATCATGAGGCATGCGCTCCATCGACTTAGCTACCGAGGCGGTCGCCTTTTAAAAGATAAAGATATTTTTCTTATTCAGGCAAAAGCAACATTTCCAAGAGGTCGTTAAAATCCATTTTTAGCTCTACTGGTCAGAGACCAGAAGAGCTTATGCGATGATAATGCGTCCGGCGTTCGTCCATCTGTCTGTCTGTCCGTCCGTCTAGCTGTCCGTCTGTCTGTAAACAATTTTTCAAAATGCTACTCTACCTTCATTTTTAGTCTGATTTCAAAATTACTTGGCACACAAGTAGACTACACTAAGATACATAAAATAGTGCATCGGTTTTTGATTTCGATGAACGGTGTTGCCATGGTTACTAAAAATAGAATTTTCTGTGAAATTCCTTTAAAATGTTACTCCTCCTAAAGTTATGATCTGATTTCAATATAAATCGGCATACAAGTAGAATACACAAAGATACATAAAATAGTGCATCGGATTTTGATTTCGATGAACGGTGTTGCCATGGTTACTAAAAATAGAATTTTCTGTGAAATTCCTTTTAAACGCTACTCTTTCTACAGTTTTGGTCTGATTTCAATATAACTTGGCCCACAAGTAGACTACACTAAGATACATAGAATAGTGCATCGGTTTTTGATTTCGGTGAACGGTGTTTGCCATGGTTACTAAAAATAGAATTCTCTGTGAAAATCCTTTAAAACACTTCTCCTTCTAGAGTTTTGGTCCGATTTCAATATAACTTGGCACACAAGTAGACTACACTAAGATACATAGAATTGTGCATCGGTTTTTGATTTCGATGAAAGGTGTTGCCATTGTTACTAGAAATAGAATTTTCTGTGAAAATCCTTTAAAATGCTTATCCCTGTACAGTTTTAGTTTGATTTCAAAATAAGTTGGCACACAAGTACACTACACAAAGATACATTAAATAGTGCAATGGTTTTTGATAAATACAAACCAGTAGAGCTACAGTCTCGACAGAGACTTCTGGTTTAACAATTATTTTAATCTTGATAGCGCAAAGTCATGACGCCAAAGTACATTCATGTATCACTCAGTCATGACGTTGAAGTCACAGTCTATGACAGGGAGTTGCAAAACGACTTCAATACTGTAAACAGAAAAATGAATGTTTGTAATTGAAGCCTACGATATCCGATCCATAAGAAGACATAATTTTCCAACCTTAGATATTCATCCTGCATTAAGATACTCCTAATTCAAAGCGGTTTAGAGTAGAGAATAATTAACCAGGGAAAATTTTCAAAAATATAAATACGCTAGCAGTAATAACATGAATTAATTAATTGAGAATTCATTTGGGTCTATGGAAACAAGCAAATTTTTAAAATAAAATTTAGATACCATGAATATAAAAAATGCTATGGTGGAAAGATGTTTATATTAACTATTACGAATAGAAAAGCGATTATAAATTAATTTTATACCAAATAATTTTTTTTTATTAATTTCATTGATTAAAGGCAAAGGGGGATAACTCTTTAAGGACGGGTCAAGATTTAAAATTAGGATACATTCAGATTATAAACGCTCTCACATATTGAGACTAAAACATGAAGATTATGTCTACATATACTGAGTATTCAGCCAATTTATATACATGTATGTCATGCATTCAGATTCATTGAATCTGAGGTTATTATGGATCGGATACCTTAAATCTATTTCACTCTTGATTCATGATATATAGGATTTTTTTTCTCACTCTTCCTTTACAATAATGTAGTATATATTTTCCCATATTAACCGGAAAAAAGAATAAATATCAAAATAAAACAGTATCTATACTCGTATGTTTATATGTTTATATAAATAAATCTAAATTTTTTTTAAGTTGAAAAATCCATTTTTATCAAATTAATTCTTGGTTAGTCATTTTAAAACTTTTTAAATTTTAAAATCTTTTTTTTTTCGGATAGAATGACCTGCTCGTACACATATCGCCTTACACTTGATACTGGGACGAAAATACCCCCAGGAACCCAACCACAAGTAAGTATCCAAAATGTCTTTCCTGGAAACAATTATAAGTAAGTATCCAATATACATCTCCATGAAACAAATACAAGTAAGTATCCAATATACCTCTCCATGAAACAAATTACAAGTAAGTATCCAATATACCTCTCCATGAAACAAATTACAAGTAAGTATTCGATATACCACTCTATGAAACAAATTACAAGTAAGTACCCAACATTATGTCTTTCCAGGAAACCAATTACAAGTAAGTATCAAATATATCTCTCCATGAAACAATTACAAGTAAGTATCCAATACGTCTTTCCAGGAAACCAATTACAAGTAAGTACCCAATGTCTTTCCAGGACACCAATTACAAGTAAGTATCCAATACGTCTTTCCAGGAAACCAATTACAAGTAAGTATCCAATATGTCTTTCCAGGAAACCAATTACAAGTAAGTATCCAATAGTTCAAGTGCTTTTCGCTTCCTAATTATTTAAAAGAAGCCTTATAGAGGTATTAAAATTTATTAATTTTTCACTTTTAAAATAGGAAAAGTCTAGGTTTTGGTGACTGCATTGGTCATATTACATTTTTCTCTTTAAAATATGGTTAGGTTAATGTTGAACATTGATTCTTAATGATTTCGAATTCATATTCAGACACATATAGAAAAAAGACTCTCGGATGCCTTTGAGAAACGCATTAAATCTGTGGAAAGCAAAATATATCAGAGATCAAAATCT